ACACACCTATAATATTTAAATGATGGAACTTAACCAAAAAAGGGGATACAGATGAATGTCCATTTTGTATCTGTGTATTCAAAGTGGTTAGGATAGATTACAGTTACATTCTCTTAATGAATAGAGGGATTTGTTCTAATGGTGTTTGTAAATAGGATATCATGTCTACATCTTGTACAGCAGTTAACCACTAGGAAGAATGTATGCAATGTGTTAATTATTGAAACTGTCCTACCAGTTCGGTTTGAAACTGTCTCATTGCTATTTGTTTCTCAATAAAATTATGGAAAAAAAAAAAAGAACCTAATCAGCTTTATTATGCTTAATGCTTAGTTTAATGTTAGCATGTTAAATTTTAGCTGCTACTGGGCTTTGCGTTAGAACTGTATTGTACAATGGTTTATATAGTTCCATTTGATGTCATGATTTAAAATGTTGGAATCTGTGATGCAGTCATTAGCTGCACAGACTCTGATGAAGTGAATCCCACACCCAGGCAAGACACAGTGGCACTGTCACCCAGAGTCACTTCCACCTCACGTTCCTAAGTGGATATACGTCCCAGCCTGTGTTATGTTTCCTTAGCAGGAGTGCACTAACTGTAACTTGCCCGGAACCCAGAATCCTTTCAGCTAATTCTTACAGAACAGGACAACATTTGCATGGTTACCGTTTCAGATGCACCAAGAGCACAGGTGGCAACTTCCAGATTTCTATCTTTTTGAGAGAATCCCGCCGAGCTCTGCAATGACTGCAGTAAAATCTGTTGTTATCTGTGAGTTTTTCTTCTTTGGAAAATAATCTAAGGCAATCCTGGTGGAAAAAGTAAGTAGCACACACTCAGTAACTGACTTCTGCACACAGTACTGGAGAGCACGCCTCTGGAAGCTACCCTGTGTGAACACTAAGTCGTCCAAGCAACACTAAGTCCTGTTCCCATGAGACAGCCCAGGAAGGGAGTGGAGACGGCTACTGAGGGGCGGGGCGGCACATGGGACTCCCATACTCTGCCTGACAGTGCATTAAGAGGATGCACTGCCGGGAGCAAGACTAAATGCACTGGGAGCTTTATGAAAACTAAACTGCTGCATCAATCCTCAATATGCTCATTGAAAACACCTATGTATAAAAAGTAGATCTCAGTTCAAGTCAACAGAATTTTCCAAATTAACTTTTACAACTTCTTAAAACTACAAACTATGGGATGGCAGTGTGGCTCAGTGGCAGAGTATTTGCCAGGGAGCCCTGGGTTCAACTGCTAGCACTAAGGGACAGGAGGAGAGAGAGGGGAGAAGGAAAACAGCGTCATCTAACAATACATCATCAACTCCCAAAGAGTGTTTAATCAGAAAGCTTTAGAAAAGGAAGACTTTATAAAAGCCATCTGTCTAGGGGAAACGGCTGGAAGTGGACTGGCGGATCCAAACACACCTTGGCCAACCATGCTCGCCCCAGATGGAACTCACCTGTAGTGTACATTTACTTGTGGATGCTAGTGGTAGAGACAGATACATGAAGGCCTCAAATGTCCTGGACTTTTTGTGACAGGTGAGGCACTGTACCGTGGATTTGAACTGACCCTGAAAAAGTGCAACGATAATAGATTCATTGAGCTGCTTGTGTTTCTGCCAAGCGTGTTCTGCAGCTCTGAAGTCATCGAGGTGATCATTGTTTTCTTCTCTATGCCTCTTCCGGTTATCAGCCTATAAGTAAGATGATTTAAGTATGTTAATACATAAAAGACAACGTTTAAATACATAATTGAAAGATTCAAATACTTTCTAGACTTAAGAACTTATAATATTCATAAAGGAAATCTTATCAAGTGCTAAAAATAAATAAATAAATAACTAACTAACTCTAGCCAAACTGAAAAACACCACTTTTTTAAATTAAAAGGATGCAAGCTGTTTGAATTTCATAATTTTTTTTATTAAAAAAGCTGAGAAGTCTGATTTTGGAAAAAGCCATCCCACATAGAGCTGAGAATTAGGGCAGCAACTAAATAGATATAATTCATTGTCATCACAATTAGTATGGTGACCCCAAAGGTACCTGAAAAAAGAATCAAGGAGTGCTAAAAGCTGTGGCATAAAAATTTACATAGCGATACATGGCTCTCTAAAACCCATCACATGAATCACTTACTTACATGGAGTAATTCTTATTTTAGAAAATAAGAAAAAAAAAGAAAACATTTTCAGAGGCTAGGGAGATTGCTCAGTTGAATAAGTGCTTGTCTGGCAAGCACAAGGGCCTGAGTTTAATCACAAGTTCAAAAAAAAAAAAGTACAAGAACATAGTATGGAATAATATATACAGTAGTCCCTATTTTGCAGTTCAACTTTTGCAGACTCACTGATTTGCGAGTTTTAAAAAATATTAATCAAAATTATTTATTGCAGATTTTTTTCTGTATCGCAAGGTTTTGCAGTACCATACAGTATATGTATGTTGTTAAAATTATGTAGGTTTATGAGTTTACAAAATGGTTAAGAACATTACAAGTGTTTTTAAAAGTGTGGGAAAGGTTTATAAGAGTGTGGGAAGGTTTTATAAAGCCTTATAATGTATATAAATACTAAAATGAATACAACGTCGCTACTTCGCTGAGCTTCACTTATCATGGGTGTCTGGATTGTAACCTCCGTGATGAGCGGGGGATTGCTGCACAAGCTGTATAGTAAATACAGATAGACAATAAAATGAATAGATACTAAAGATCCTCAGGCTATCTTTATAGAACCACACAGATGACTTCATTTCACACGTGGGCCACATATAACATCACAGTAACTACTTTAACGTTCAAGAGCTGGTCAGCAGGACAATCTGTGAACCGCTGCATAAACCACCACGTACACAACTTTTCAAATGCAGATCCAACAGCCTTCATCTCAGAATCCAAAATGCTCTAGAACCAAAACAATCTGAGCGCAAACATGCTGCTACAAGTGGAAATTACATACCGCAAAACTGTGTTACGTACAAAATTACTTAAAAATACTATAAAAAACTAACCAGGCTATGTGTTTAAGATATACATGAAGTGTAAATGAATCCTGCAATTCCCACAACAGCTCATCACCTGCAGGTAAATATTGCAAAATTAAAAAAACAAAAACAGGAGACCCCCAGATCCAGCCCAGCCCAGGCCCAGCGAGTATGTCCAAGAGCTTCTGGCTTCGCTGTGCCCGCGGGATCTCTTCAGACCAAAACTCAGGCATCCGCATAAGTGAGATCCTCTACCACGCCACTGGGACCCCTGCAACCCTGCCTCTGCCTCTGGGGTCCCTACCCCCAAGCCTGCTGAGTGAGAACTTCTGTGACTCTCTAGGGACCCCCAGATCCAGCCCAACCCAGACCCAGCTAGTATATGGAAGAGCTTCTGCGTTCCCGTGTGGCCCCTGGGCCAGGGGCACAACAGGTTCACTTCCAACGGCTGCAGCAGGAAGGAGCTGAACACAACAGCTAGACCCAAGCCAGGCATAACTGGATAAACTCAAACTTAATAGATCTGAACCCGAATTTCAGTAGGCTCTAAGGTTTTAACTGCACCAAAGGTCAGAGGTCAGTGCTATACGAAATGACAAAGAGAAGGAGCAAAATGCAATCTCAGGCCTCGAGCCCACCCAGAACAAGTGCAGAGGACACTAGCTCAGCTGAAATGTATGAATTAATAGCATCAGAAGTAAAGAAACAACAGCAGAAAGGTATAGAGGTACTCAGAGCAGAATTGATTTCTGAAATAAAAAAAGAAATCTCTGAACTCATAGCATCTGAAGTAAAGAATCAAATGTAGAAACATACTGAGGAAACCCAATCTGAAAAAAACTCCAGTAAAAGAATTAATAACTACTTCTAAAGAAGACATTGATAAAAAAAATAGAGTAGATTATAGAAATGATGGATTCCTTGAATGAGCAATACAGGAAAGAAAAGGATCGCATGAAGCAGAGTCAAAGAGAGATAGAGGAACTTAAAATCTCAGTCACGAGCCTGCAAAACTGAGTGAAAGTGAAGATAGAGTTTCAGATCTTGACGGTGGTGCAGCTAGTGAGAAGAAAGGATCTCTTAAAAACAACTAGGATGCAGGAAAAAATAATCTATCACCTGCAAAATGATACAAAGATGAACAATGTGAGACTAACAGGCATCAATGAGAAAGGAGTCAATACAAATGATAGAATATGGGCAGAGGCAATAGCAGAAAACTTCCCAAATATGAGGAAACACTCTGACATTCAGGTAAACGAAGCATACAGAACGCCATAATCTTCAACAATTTAATTTTGGGAGTACAGCCAAATGCAATCCCTATCAATGCAATTTAATTTAATTTAATGCAATCCCTATCAAACTACCATTAATATACCTCGGAGACCTAGAGAAATTGTTCCTAAAATTTATTTGGAACCAGAAAAGACCTAGAATAGCAAAGGCAATCCTGGCCGAAAAAGACAAATAGAAAGGCACAAATTACCAAAGCTGAATCAAGAAGCTATAACATTTCTCAATAACCTAATAACAGCCAATGAAATACGAAATGTAATAAAAAGCCTGCCAACTAAGACAAGACAAGGCAGGAGGCATTACAATTCCTGACTTGAAATTATACTACAAAGCTACTGTGATAAAATCAGCATGGTATTGGCAAAGAAACAGACCTGAGGATCAATGGAATAGATTAGAAGATGCAGAGGCCTCTATGAACACACTCAGCGACATGATCTTCGAAAAAGGGGTCAAACATGCTTACTGGAAGAAAGCCTCTTTAACAAATGGTGCTGGAAAAACTGGCTCTCTACATGCCGAAAACTAAAACTTGACCCAGGTCTATCACCATGCACTAAGCTAAAGTCAACATGGATTAAAGATCTAAACATTAAAGCAGAGACACTAAATCTCCTGGAAGAGAAAGTAGGAGAAACTCTTGAAGACATAGGGGTAGGCAAAGACTTCATGAACAAAAATCAAATTGCATGGGAAACAGCTGAAAGAATTAACAACTGGGACCTGCTCTTACTGAGAAGTTTTTTCACGTCAAAAGAAATTACCAACAAAGTGAAAAGACAACCCACAAATTTTGAAAAAATCTTCATAAGCACTCAGATAAAGGTCTGCTCTCTAGAATTTATAAAGAACTAAAAAACACTAGGGCCCCAAAATTTAAAGACCCAATCCAGAAATGGGCATCTGAGATGAACACACACTTCTCAGAGAATGAAATTAAAGAAGCAAATAAATATATGAAAAAATGTTCCACATCACCAGCCAAGAAATGCATATTAAAACAACACTGAGATACCATCTCACCCCAGAAAGAATGGCTATCATAAACAAATCAACCAACAACCAATGTTGGAGAGGCTGTGGGGAAAATTGAACCCTTCTCCACTGCTGGTGGAAATGTAGATCGGTGCAACCATTATGGAAATCAGTATGGAGATCCTTAAAAAACTAGGACTGGAAATCCCATTCAAGCCAGCTATCCCCCTAACTGGGAATTTTCCCAGAGGAACTGAAAACATCGTATCATAGTGATATATGTGTACCTATGTTTATAGCAGCACAATTTGTGATAGCCAAATCTTGGAAACAACCAAGATGCCCATCACATGAGCAAAGGTTGAAAAAGATGTATTTTTATGCAATGAGGTATTACTCAGCTATAAAGAATGATAAACTTGAAGCATTTATATTTAAGTGGATGCCACTTGATGATATACTCGTAAGTGAAATAAACCAGACCCACATGTGTAAATATCATATAGTCTCCCTAGTATAACTCAAAGGAAGAAATACAAATAGAAAGGCATATAACACAATTAAAAGGAAAGCAAGAACTTGAGGATTGGACAAGGAGAGGGCAAGGAGAAAAGCTGGGAAACATGACAGGTGCAAAGCCATACATTTATACACACAGGATGGGTAAGGCAATGATCCTGAGAAACATCAGCAGGTTTTTGAAACTAGCAGTTAATTGGTAGGATTCTCACCCTGACTGACTATATATGCTGATATCTGTGAACCAAGCAACTGCACTGAAGACAGCAATGTGTAACAGAAGGGTCACGCTTGGCATGCCTGTCATTCTGGTCTTCTAAATATGTACTTCTTGTCATGACATACCAATTATTACCATACTGTCTCTCAAGCAAAAGTTTGTTTTCAAAGGGTAATGAAAGAAAAGACATAGGGAAAAAAATGTCATAGGAGTGTCCTGCTACAATGCTGTATATGGTTAGATTTCTAAATTTCTGTGTAAAAATACATAATTATTTATTCATGTTCTTTAAATATTTTTCATTTTTAAAATTTTTTTCCTCCATATTCTGTAGGGACTTAAAGTTTAACATATCAAGTACTTGATGGAAAATACCTGTTTCATGATATGGCTAAAATGTTTGATATTCAGACAGATAGTGTTAAGATTAAACCCAACTGCATATGTTGTAGGGTAAGAATAAGCCTCTCTTCTGGAGGGTTAACAACCTAAGTTTGCAGACCAAAAATTAGAGAAATAGAAGGGCTGCAAGGACAGCCAATATTTTGACCCTAGCCTTTCAAGGTCAGTGAAGACTCAGGACATAGGAGAACCTATACTGTAATATCATGTGACTCAGTTGTGTCCCAAATTTTCTGATCAAGAAGATTATGGGGCCACAGAGCAACATGATTGATGTGGAGTGTGCTAAGGAGAGTCATATGGAGAGAAAACATTCTCTCAGGCTTTCACAGAGAGCAAATTTGTCAAGCAATAGCCATGACTCATCCACATGGCTGACACTGACAAAGCATCTGCAAACTGCGGTACAGGTTTACAGGATAAATCCTGAGGGTACTTAACTGGCCTTATCAGATACAAAAGTTACATTTCTTGTTGTATAGGTCTTGCTTTATCATGGTCTTAACCATGCAGCAGAAAAATATAAAAATGAGGTATATAAAGTAAAGCCCTATTAATATGCTGAGCTGTGAAAGGCTCAAGTCAACAACTTCTGTGGATGACCCACTACTATTGTGGACTGCTGGACCGTGTTGGATTGTTGTGCTGAATTCATGCACCTATAGTATTTAGATGCCAATGGAATACCCATCTCTGTCAGGACTAAATAAAAAAAGGGGATACAAAGGAAGGACCATTTTGTATCTGTATATACAGAATAGCTAGGATAGATATAGCTACTTTCGCTTAATTCAGTGAGAAGAAAGATTTGTACTAACAGTGTTTGGACAGGATATCCTGTCTGTATCTTGTACTATGGATAACCACTACGAAGATAACAATGTACAATGTATTAATTATTGAAACCATCCTATTAATCAGTTTTGAAACTGTCTCATTGCTATTTGTTTCTCAATAAAAAAGAAATAAAAAATAAAAATCCAAAATCCAAAACACGCCTGGAAACACTTCACCTAACTTACCATTTGTCAGACTGTAGACTTACCAGACCTGTACTGCGGTTCACACTTCAGTACGATGTACTGTATCTGAATAAACTACCACCCAGCACTCACCAACTAGAATTTAAATTGCTGTGAAAATGATGACAGTGCTATTGTGCAGCACTGAGGAGCTGGAAACGTAGCAACAGCAAGCCTCTTACTTTATTTAGGTCTTCATGGAGACCGTCCATGAGGAAGAGCAGCAGTTCCTGTGAATCCTGCTGGCTGTATCCTGCAAACTGGTCGTTGATTTTCCCAATGGTAACTTTAAAGTCTTTGGGGCTGATGTACCTATACTGTCCTGTCCACAGTGCTTTCATGATTATACCAAACTCTTCTGCCACTTCTCCTTTATGCCCCAACAAATTGGACCTGTGCAAATAAAACTCAAGTCACCAAAGTGATAAAGGAAGCTGAAGCGAGCGGGTCCTCGCTGTCGCAGTGCAGCACGCGCTCTGCGGCCCTCCAGGAGGATGCCTGCAGCACACGTTCCACACACTTCGGACCTCACTCTGCTCAGTCTGCCCTATGGTGTGGTGTGGCGTGAGCTCTGTGCCCTCTGACCAGCCAGCTGCAGTTACGTGAGGTGAGCTTCTGCCTTCTGGGGCTGCTTTTCCACCTGTCTCAGAGTTGGCTTTCCTCTATGTTTTTTTTAATGAATAAATGTATTTTCCCTTTTTCCAGTTAGACTTCTTCAGAGCTGAGTGGTAGGGGTTATGGTTTGAACACATCTCTTCCAAACTTCAGGTGCTGCCACTATGCCAATGTGCAGTGGCAGGGCCTTCTCCTCTAATCCCACTACTGGGGAGGCTGAAGCAGGAGGATTCCAAATTCACGGTCAGTCTCAAAACAAAACTACAACAGGCTGAGGACTTAGCTATGTGACAGAGCATTTGCTTAGCATATGCCAGGCCCTATGTGCAATCCCTAATACTGCCAAAAAAATTAAAGAGACAAGACCTTAAGAAGTGCTTAGGTCACAAGGCTTGTCCCTCAGGAATGAGCTTGGAGTGCTTAGAAAAGGCAGTACACAGGCCATGACCACAGGGGGGCATCTATATCTTGGACTTCAGTCTCCAGAACTGCGAGAATAAACTGCTGTTCTTTATAAATGACCCAGTCTCAGGTACTCTGCTGAGCAGCACAAAAGGTACTAAGACAGGAGGGCTGGCTGGGCACTCTCAGCAACGTACTGCAAAAGCCAGGCGCCTATTCACTCACCTGTTAATATCATCCTGATAGCAGTTCCGGTTGAAATAGTCAGCCAGATGGGGGGCATTGCACAGGCACTGTAGGATCGAGTTCATGTAGCATGTATTGCCTAAGTTCCGAAGTCCCGTGAGGGCTGGTCCAGAGCCACCAAAGACAGGATTGAGATTGCGAATCTGAGAGGCAGACAGCCTTGAGATCTCGGCTTTGGGGTAGCACACTGGCCTGAGTGCAGAGAGATACAGGATGTGGATGAGGGGCCAGACCTGAACGGAGGCCCACACTGCAAAGGGCAGCAGCTCCGCACCATGGTCACCCTCGTCCAGCTAGTGCACCTGTGCCTAAGGTGCTGGGCCTTTCAGGTGCTCAGTAACCCGCTCAGACCTGCCTGTGACCTGGAGCCCATCCTGTCAACCTCTTAGCTGGGCCCCTGGGTCTAGAAAATGGGCCTCAGAGATTCTCTAGTTTTCTGTGAACTAAGAGCCAGAGGGCAGAGTGTCTTTGTATCTTTCAAACGATCCCAGGCGGTTAACAGCTTTCAGTATCTGAACTCAACCAGAATGCCAAAAGCTCTAATCGTATCTATCAGTGGAGGGCAGATGTGAAAGGCGTCTGGAGTACTATTACCTGGCCTAGAGCCGAGCTGGCCACAGGTGGCCTACTGTGACACCAGGGAAGCAACGGCCCAAAATGGCTGCATCTGCTCAGGACTGACTTCTCTCTCTCTTCGATCTTCCTTTCTCTTTCTCTTTCCTCCTTCAGCAAAGGTGACTTATTCTTGGCCAAGAACCTTAATAACTGATGCCCTGGGCGCAGAACTCATGGCTACCTAGGGCCGACTATATTTCCACCTATTCCCTTTCTCCTCCCAAATGTAAAGATTACAAGTGGAGGGCTGGCTTAAAAGCTGACTCCTCACAGTCGACCTGTGGTAAGCCAGGCGCATTAGATTCAGAAAGGGTAGAACCCAGGAAAACAACTAAATGCAACACTACAGAGGGAAGCCTAACAGGGTCCCACTCACCCCCGGGGCCAGCACAGCAGAACGCAGCAGAGGGTGAAGCGCAGAACGAGATCAGAGCAGACACGCGTGCTTGGGACTTCAACACCACAGGCCAGCCTGGCCCTCGTGTGACTGGAACCTGAGGGCTGGGCAATGCAGACCAATACTTCCCACAGTTGAGGCAAGAATCACAGCAAGTCTAAGGAAGACCCAGGGTGGTCTGCTGCACAGGTGCTATGGGCACTTCACCCTTTCTATCTCACTGCGTAGGCTAACACCTCGCCTGAATAGGAAGTTAACGCACGGGAGGAAAACCAGGGATGTTTTCATGTCCCTTAGGTAAGAGGGGCTGGAATGGCCACCCAGAGCAATTTCTGACTCGAGCATTAGTACAGCAGTCCAGTTAGAGCAGAGGTGCTGACACACACTGCCTGCCCGACTTGCGCACCAGGAGCCAGGACAAACTCACTTGTTCTCCCGATTCACGGCTGGCGTCACCGTGGGCTTCCTCCTCTCCTCTTCCTGCACGGCCTGGGCGATGTCGGGGGAGGAGTAGGAGCGCTTCAGTTTGGATGGCTCCCTGTCCCGCTCAGCAGGAACCTGGGGCTTGGCTTTGTGAGTCGGTGGGGTGGAAGGAGGAGCAGAGGAAGGCGCCATTTCTGGTGGGTACATGTGGACAGTGTTGGTGGGTGAGTGGTAATAACGGAAGGTTCCGGTGATCGGGTCCAGAAACTTAGATGGAAAAGGAAAAATTAAAATAGGTCAAAACCCAAAAATGAGTCAGGTGTGGTGGTAGTACACACCTGTAATCCCAGCACTTAGGAGGCTGAGGCAGAAGGATCACTGTGAGTTCGAGACCAGCCTGGGCTACAAAGGGAGCTCAAGGTCAGCCTGGACTGCACTGTGAGACCCTGTCTTAAAAAGACACACAAAAAGAAACAAACCCAAAAACTACAGCAAAATGACCACTATACAGAAACAGCTTTTCCACAGTACTCCAGCTACTTTTACTTTTGGGTTAAAAAGTGTGCACTCTACCCCTGAGCCACACTGCCAGTCTCTAAAATGATTTCAATGAAATGGTGATGATCAATTCTCCCATTAAATTTTCAAAGAAATTTACATTTTAGAATACAACATTATGATTACTAGTACTTGGTACTAGGGATTGAACTCATACCCATCCTTTTTTATTTTGAAACAGGGTCCCAGGCTGGCATCAAACTTGCAGTCCTCCTGCCTCAGCCTCCCACACAGCTGGGATTCCAGGTGAGTGTGACCAGAGCTGCACACGAACACTACTACTAAAGAATATTGCCTGAACGCTCATGTACTGCAGCTGGGAGCCAGGGCTGTGGAGAAATCTAACCCTGCAGCAACTAGGAGAAAGCTATGTCCTCTTACACTGAAGAAAGAGAATTGCTCTTTCATTACAGAAGATACAAAAGACTTTAATTTAAAAGAACACAGTACCTGTGCTCCCCGCTTCAAGATCTAAGCGTGACCTTTACCTTGGCCCAGCCGGAAGGCAGTCCTGGGACGATTCTCCCCATCTCTTCACTCCGTGCTCTCGTCAAAGGCTCCCGCTGAGCCTGTGTAGGAGGTAAAAAAAAAAAAAAAGTCTGATTTTTTCAGTTAAAATTTGCCACTTAGAAACTTACGTACTTGTGCCAAACAACCAAAGAACCTTGCCTTGGCTGCCATTTCATGTTTTAAAAACAGGTTCAAAGATGACAAAAATCTGGGCCGGCAGTTAGCTCAGTAGAATAAGCGCTTGCCTGGCAAGTCCAAGGGCCTGAGTTCAATCCCCAGTTCCACAAAAAAAAAAAAAAAAAAAAAAAAAAGATGACAGAAATCTACTTTTCTCAAGGTCTAAATATTACATTAAGAGGAACAGGAATGTGGAAATAAAAGGGAAAATTAGGTGAAAACAACATTTCAGGAGCTTTAAAAATAGTTTTTACAATGGCATCTGAAGGCCACTTGGAAGCAGGATATAAGGGCCAGAGCTGCTGCCCGGGACATGCGTGTGGGTCACCTCCTGACAGTGGACGTCCACACAAACCCTGCACCCAACATGGGGCGTGCATGGCGAGGTGGCGTGGCTCGCACTCTGTGGGTGCTTTTACCTGGGGTACACATTCCTTCCCCACCACACACCACCTGTACTGAGGCCACAGTTCAAGCACAAGAACACACCGTCCGTCCTGTGCCCCACTGGCTTAGAGCACTCAGTCTAGCCTTCCTGAGCTGCAGGTCCCATGGCCCCTTTTAACCCTGGCACTTTCTGAGTTTGGAGGAGTAGGATGTGTGGGTAGGACTCAATGATGGCAGAGAGAAGGATATGCCCTGCACCCTGGTGCACAAAGAGCTCAACAGTCGGCCAGGATTACATAGCAACGGCTGCGCCAAGTCACTCTGCTCCCTCTGTACCGCTACACTTATTTATTCCACAAAGCACTGATAAAGCACTATACAAGTAAATGCAGGCCAGGGTGGTGAATGA